TCGGATTTCTATCGCACAGTCCGTGGGCCGGTGACGAGGCAGTTCATTGGACCTTTCCTTGCTGAACACTTCAGCAGATCTTTATACTCCTTCAGTATTTCAGGTAGCTCCTTTCCCCCCCCCCACCACGGCTTTCTCGGCCAGGGTTTCACCATTTCGGGGCTGGGCTGGTGCCTTGGTTGATTCTCCTTTCGGGAATCTTAGTCCTGCTGTTCTCCTGTCCATCCATGGGTTCCACTTGGTCACCCATGCCATGCCCAGAATTATAGGGCATTCCATGCCAGGGATCACCACAAATGTTATAGTCTCTACATGGTCCCCTATGGTGAGTTGAACTGGTAGCGTTGCTAGTGTGGCAGGCATCTCTCCTGCTAAGGACCCATCTAATTGACCAAAAGAGATTGGTTTCTTCAGCCTCCTCACCAGAATTCCTAAGTTCCCCTCTAATGTTGGGCTTATGAGGCAGCGGGTGCAGCCAGAGTCAATTAATTCCCTGACTTCTACTCCCTTGGGCATGCCAGGGGCTAACAGTTCTATTGTCCGGGTAAGGGGCACAATGGGTCCACTTACCAGGGGTTCATCTTTGGAGTTGTCGCTGGATGAGTTGGATGTTCCTCCTGTGTTGGTTGGAGTTCCCTTTCTTAATTGGGCTGAGGTAGGGAATTCAATGACTTCCATGCCTTTTATGGCCATCTCCTTTGGCTTTGCTGGGATCTTCCCTGGTTTTCCAGCTGTAGCTCAGTCAGGCTTTCCGGTAGGGGTGCGTGAGCAGCATTCAGGGGCACAGTGTCCCTCTTTCCCACATTTGAAACATTCTGAGGTTCTCTTAGTAGTTGATGGTTGCTTTGCTGATTCGCGGGTTGGCTCCAATGGCGACTTCCCCCACGATCTCTCCCTTTGGCGTTGTCTCTTGGCCAGGTCGATCTCTGCTTCTTCAGCAAGCATGTACCAGTCTTGCAACTGATGAGGGTCTCCCCAAGGGAGGCAGGCATCGTAGAGGTTGTAGTTTAACCCATCTTTTTTAAAAAAAGTTTTTTATTTATAATACAATTTAAAAAAGAAAGAAAACATTGGACATGATGTAACATTCCAGTTTGAACATTTCTATCAAATTATTTCTCCTCTTAAATTCAATTCTTTATTTCTATAAATATATATAAACTTTTTATACAATACTAAATACATTTTCTCTGTTTGCTAACCTAAGAATATATATATTTCCATCTTATCACTAATCCATAACCCCAACAGTCCTCCTCAATTCCCACTAATGGTACAATTTATCCCAGATTTCAAAATATTCTGATCCACTTTTATCTTTCAATTCCATCGTAAGCCTGTCCATTTCAGCACAAGATAGTATTTTATGCAGTATCTCTTCATCTGTGGGAGTTTCTTTGTTTTTCCATTTTTGTGCAAAAGCCAGTCTAGCAGCAGTCAAGATGTGCAACATCAGATAGACTATTCCCTTATCATATTTATCTGTGGTTATACGCAATAAAAAGAGTTCAGGTTTTAGCTCTATCTCCAACATTAATATTTCTTTCAACCATTTTCTTATCCTATTCCAATAATCATGGGCTTTAGGACATTCCCACCACATGTGATAATAGGTCCCTATTGCTATTTTATATTTCCAACATATAGGTGAAAGATTTGGACCCATTTTGGCTAACCTTGTGGGTGGGAAATGCCATCTGTAAAACATCTTATAAAGGTTTTCCTTATAAGAAGTGGCTAAAGTGAGTTTCCTGTTTCTTTCCCACAATTCTTGCCAAATATGTAAATCAATATTAAAGCCGAAATCCGTACTCCACATTAACATAGTTTCCTTGACCTGCTCTTCAAACATTGCCTGGTCTAGAAGGTAGTGATATATTCTTTTAATCATTTTATCTTCGGTTCCTAATAATATTTTATCTAACTCTGTCGATTCTGTTTTTATACCCCAATCTTTTTTTATCTTTCCTATATCTTGATTGCAATTGGAGATATGCCCACCATTCCAGTTCTATCCCTTCTTCTTGAAGATTTTTCCTTGATTTCAATTCTCCTCTCTCTAATATATTTTTATATGTTATTACTTTCCCTAGTTGTATGAACATTGGATATATGTGCATTTCCAAAGTTGAAATCCAATTAGGAATTTGCATATAATCCATCCTTGAAGTGGCTGAGCAGAATGTCCTCTGGCCAATTCAGCTTGTTGGCCAGGGCCCAGAACTCCTGGGTGTATTCTGCCACTGGTCATCTTTCCTGTTTCACCATTTTTATTCACTCCTGTGCTTTCCGGTCAGCTAATGGGTCTTCAAAACGATGCCTGAGGGAAGCCATGAATTGACTGAAATTTAGGAGCTCTGGTGCATCTGCATCATGGAGGTCTACGACCCAGTCTGCTGCAATGCCATCCAGGGCTGCTTGTACAATGCAGACCCTGGCTCGGTCACTGGGGATGTCGCGGCCATATTCCTCCATGTAATTTAGTAGCTGGGTCAGGAAGAATCCCAGGCACTGTGACTTCCCACAGTACTTTACATCCAGCAGTGGGAACTTCTGGATGGATCGGTGCCTCTTCTTCTGCTTGTGTCGTTTCCCCTCTCTGTCTGCAGTGGCTGCTTGATGAGTTTTGTTGTTACCTTCAGAGGGGTCTGGGACCTCGGGTTTGGCTTGCCCTTCGTTGGCTCTCTTGGTGGATCCCAGGCAAATGGTGCCCCAGTATGGTTCAATTTTCTCTTCGTTCATGGAGTCGAGTGCTATTTTCATCATGCTGATTGCCTGTTCCAATAATTGGCTGGAGTACATGGGTTGATCTTCCTTGTCTTCACTAAAATAGAGGGACTTCTCCATCTCCACCTTCCAGCCTGGCTGGTGACTGCTCCATCTGAGTGTCACCTTTCTGGCCTTCTTCTCCCAGTCCTCCTTTCTCTCGACGCCCATCGTCCACCTGGGCTTGTGGCGGCATTCTGTGATCATCTCCTCTTCTGAAGAGCTGGAGGATCTGGAGATGGAGTATTTGCAGGGGTCTGCAAAGCTCCCCCCCCCTTGCAGGCTCCTCTCTTTCTATTCCATTATCTGACATGATTTGCCAAGTCCCCCAGTAGGGGTCTTTCTTCCGGGTTGACTGTTACTGCAGATCCTGTCTCATGTCAAAGTTCACTTCAAAACCTCATCCTAAGAAAGCAGAACTCATGGAAGCAATTTCTTCCAAAAGGAACTTTTATTAGGAAAAGCTGATAGCAGGTATAATAGCCAGGATCTGAGGATTTCCCACTCAGATCAATAGGTTAAAAGAGTCCCAAACAAACCCCACCCCAATAGCTCATCTGGTCTATTCAAGCGGGCCAATCCCAAGGTGTTAAGTCCGTTGTGGGAAAGGGCTGATAACGTCAGTCTGTCTCAGGCTTGTAGAGAGGTTTGTTGGGCCTTCACACCTTCCCTTCTGAAACAGAAGATAAGCCAGATAGCCGGAGGCACATTCCTTTCTCCCCCCTTTCAAGCTGACATCAAGGGAAGACAGTTCAAAGAGCAAGAATTCAGAAACAGCGGAAGTTACATTGTAGCGATAGAGAGAAACAAAGAGGCAGCTCTCAGTGTCTTCCCCCCTCCCTTCCAAGAGTATGGCAGAACCCAGAATAATAGAAGAACTAGAAGTAGAAAGAGCCCCCTTAAACAATATGGGTTCTGACACAAGCATTACTTTATAACAATGTATGCTTCTAGACAATGCTTTTTGCTATGGAATTGATGTACTTCCTTTATGAAACTTTATAGGAGATCCAAAACAACTGTCATCTACCATATGCAACTGTTGAGCTTTTGAGGGAGATCAGGTCTATAAACAGAGTTACACCATAGAGTATACTATAAAGTTATAATATATAATAGCAGATTCTTAAAAGCCTCATGAAAATTCTTTCCCTTCCCCATTGCTCTTATACTGAGAGAATTAAGGGAAAGCAATGTTGAAGTTTTTCCACATTTTCTCCAGTCTAAAGCTGATGAATGGTAGCTCAATTCCTTCTTCAAGGCCATCTGTATACTAGTCTACGCCAACCTGCATGTGTTTTCCAACATGTTTTCCACCTTTGACTTTATCATTCAAAAAAAAATATTATGAAAAAACATGTTATCTGTATAGCACCTTATTCAATGGTAGCAATTATTTTGTTATGTACTTATGCACTATATTTTCAAAAACATGCAAAAAAGGTAATTTGGAAAATAAAAAGTGAATGGAATAACTTGTAGAAACTTTAAATTTTCTGACTTTCTGTTTTATTTTTTATTTATTTTTCACATTTTTGAATCATCAATCTCTCTCAGAGAGGAACTATACATGGTGTACAATAGAACGTTAATAAAACAGCATGTAAAAATTAAAAATATAGAAGGAAGCGAGGAAGATAAAATACTGTTAAAATTAGTTTAAAAGATGAAGAGTGATAGTTATGGAGTGACTTGAATCCTAAAACCTTCACATTTTTCACCTCAATCTCTTAAGGTCCAGAAACCATTTTGCAGCCTAATTTAGGGATTTCTTTTTCAGGGTTTGTGGAATATTTAAGGGTGTGGTTTAGGGTATTTTATCTTCCACCTTTGTTCCAGCTCTTAATTTTGTGGGGAAAAAATGTACCACATATCAAAATTGCATCTAAAAGTGTACCAAATTTTATCATATTCAGTTGCCAAAACCTGAGATGCTAGAACACTGCATGCAGTTCAAGACTAGACTATTCCACCTTATAAAGTGCAAGCAGTGGAAGCTAACATTACAGAAACAGTATTTCTAAAAAAAATCCCAATATTTCTTTCCATAGTATAAATCATCCTTTTAAGCCAGTTGCCTTCCAGAAATGCCCTAATTCCTAAATATGCTCCTAGTACCCCATTGGGAAAATTGGCAGACAAAAAAAAATCACTATTTGTTTACCACACTTATAAACTTTAAATTATCCATAGTCACATGGTTTCAGGAGGAAATATTGGTAGAGAAAACAGACCTTTGTAAAAATAGGTGTAGCATGAATATGTTTTGATCCATCTAATTTGCAGAGATGTGAAGTAGGACTTTGAATCTGTAAAAAACATCATGTGCAGACATTTTTAAAGCATATCTGCACCATTAATAATATAAAGTGCAATTCTCAATGAATTTAGCATAAATGTATTAAAATTAGTATTTCAGACTGGACTCATAAAGATATATTTATGTGATTAAGCAATGACACCGAATTATCAGCTGATATATCACTTTCAAAAGTGTTCCTAGCTTTTAACACTTTGATAAATATAATAACCAATCCTAATTTATATGCATGTCACTAAAAATATAATTCCATGAAATCTATGTGGTTCCTGATTTACATGCTCTAAGACCATTAACAATAATATTAACTGCAACTTTTACAACATTATACACCATAGTTTGGGAAAGTCTGAACAAATACTGAAATCATGATCCCTGGAAAAAGAAAGATGAGAGAGATAAATGTCACACTCAGGATCTTATGACAAAGAACAGCTTCTGTATTACTTTAAATAACTGCATTATATGCTTCTTTGAAGCTCCAGCTACATTAGCACTGATGTCCAGAACAGTTACGCTAGTATGAACAGGTGCTATATTGCAGTTTTTCTCAACTATGATCTGGAATTGTGAAGGAGGAGCACAGTAGATCTCTGGCTGCTCAAATGTTAAATGAGTCTATATGGTGACCATAACTGAATGTAGTGGCTTAATTTTCTAAAACAGGCTTTTGAAAAGAAATACATTTTGAATGTGAAGAAAGCAATGAACGTAAAGAACATGGAAAATATATGCTTGAAGAAGACACCTGCATGTTAAGAAAATGAAGACAATGTACAAAAGTGATTATTTTAAATTATATGGTCCTCAATCTTTGGGGAAGTCTGTGTATTCATCATATAAATGATCAAGCTCTTCAGGAAATGTCAGGAAATGAGAAGCACTGATTCATGGATATATTTGCAAAAAAACCCATATCTAATTCTGTACACCTAATGAATGCATCTATAATAAATTTCCCACAAAAAGCTTAATTTTTAGTTTTGTAGAATCAGTCTATGAATGCAAATACCCAAATGCAAGTACAGGTAGTCCTTGACTTATGACAACTGAGCCCAAAATTTCTGTTGCTAAGTGAAATATTTGTTAAATGAGTTTTGCCCCATTCTACAACCTTCTTGCCACAGTTGTTAAGTCAATCAGTGTAGTTAAGTTAGTAATATGGTTGTTAAGTAAATCTGGCCTCGCCATTGACTTTGCTTGTCAAAAGGTCATAAAAAGTAATCACATGACCCCAGGACACTGCAAGTGTCATAAATGAATCAGTTGCCAAATATCTGAATTTTGGTCATGTGACCATGGGGATGCTGCAACAGTCGTAAATGTGAAAAATAGTCATAAGTCACTTTTTTCAGTGTTGTAACTTTGAATAGTCACTGAACGAACTTTTGTAAGTTGAGGACTACCTGTAGTCTGCCATGTTCCCTTAAAAAATTCTTTATATCTTAATGCTATCACACCTGAATCTTGTACAGAAAGGTGAGCAAGGACACTTCATAAAATAAATGCACCAAGAATAGAAGAATCCAAGGCAGAAAAGAAGGAAAGCTCTTATAGTTGCAGGATGTATATCTACATGTTATTATTAATTTAATAATAATTTAATTAATTCTCCAGTTCTGTAGAAGATCTGTATGAAGCAATGCCAGAGGCAATCGCTTGGATAGCTGAATTGGACATCCAGTTATGAGGTCACTGCCATGCCCCCAGAGATGTTTTACTTACAATTACATGGACTGTGTGTGTATGTATATGTATATGTATACGTATACGTATACGTATACGTATACGTGTGTGTGTCTGTGTGTGTGTGTGTGTGTGTGTGTGTATATATATATATATTTCGGAGGTTTTCGCGGGTGTTTGTATGTAGGTCTTTGGTTATTCGGGTTTTCTCTCGTATCAAATTGGAAGTGTCTTGGTGACGTTTCGACGAAGTCTCATTCGTCATCTTCAGGCTGGTGTTTTCGGCTTCATGCTTCTAGGAGCAATGTGTGATCGTAGCTGTTTCTTCCTTTTAATTGCCAGTGGGGGTATGAACTGATTGGATGAGAGCTTGGCTGTGTTCTGATTGGATGGAGGTGTGTTCTGATTGGTTAGGAGCTTGGCTGTGCTCTAATTGGATGGGGGGTTGGCTGTGCTCTGATTGGATAGGGGGTTGGTTCTGCTCTGATTGGTTGGGGAGTGTTCTCTTTGGGTGGGGGCTTTGTTGTGCTCAGGTTAGTCTGAGTTGCATGGGGAATGTGAGATGGTGAGCTGCATTGCTATTGTTTGGCTTCGCGTTCATGGTCATGCCTCATCTTCATGGTGGGTGTCAGTTTGCTTCATGTATGGATTGGAGGGGTTTAAAGTGGCTAATGATGCAGCTATGGTCTGGCTTCTGGTTTGTGGTCATGCCTCATCCTCGGTGTGGGTTTGGGTTTGCTTTTTGCGTGGACGTGTGGTGGTGACATCCTGTGTGGCTTTTGTGAGTGTGGGTCTGGTGTCATTCTTTGTGTTAGGGACTCGTTTGTCAATAAGGGCGGGTTTCCAAATGGCTGGTAGGCGGGAGGTGTCATCTCGTTTGTTCATGCTGTGTGGGCATTTTTCTATCTCAATGGCTTCTCTGATTATTCTGTTATTAAAGTGTTCAGTTTTGGCGATAGTTCTGGTCTTTTTAAAGTCAATTTCATGTCCTATGATTTTAAGGTGTTGGACCAGGGAAGAAGTTGGTTCTTCAATGTGTGCACTTATTCTTCTGTTGGTTTGTCCGATGTATATGGTGGGACAAGTGGTGCATGGGATTTCGTATACTCTTTGATTTTCTAATTCAATTTTATCTTTGGGGTTTCTTAGGATGGTGGATATTTTTCGGTTTGTGCAGAATGCTGTCTTAATGTTGTGTTTGTGGAGGATCCTACTGATTCTGCCTTTTATGTAAGGGAGGAGGGCTTTGCCGTTTTCTTGTTCTCTGTCTTGGGTTTTAGTGGGGGTTTCTTTTTGGATTAGTTTGGTAATCTTATTTCTTTGGAATCCATTGGATGTAAGTACATTAATGAGAGTGTGTAGTTTGGTTTTTAGGTGTTGTTCATCAGCTAAGCGTTTTGTTCTAGAGATGAGTGTCTTGGCTACGGAGTTGATCTGTGCTGGGTTGTGGTGTGAGAGAGCATACAGATAGCGGTTTGTGTGTGTTTTCTTCTGGTAGATGGTGTGTCCTAGGGAGCCATTGGATTTCTTGTAGACTAAGACAGGTGGGGATGTGTTTGGGAGCGACTGCAAAGTTGAATCCTTTGGAAAGGACATTGGTTTCGGCCTTGGTGAGGATCCTATCTGAGATGTTATGCACTGTTTGTTTCATCTTCACCAAAGCCGAAACCAATGTCCTTTCCAAAGGATTCAACTTTGCAGTCACTCCCAAACACATCCCCACTGAAACCATTATATGCGGAGTTGAAACTAGCCTGACCAAAATCAACCCCGATGATGCGAACAGAATCAGACTCGAAATCACCAACATCCTCTGTACCAGCAAACCACCCATAAGCAACTTACCCAAAGAGGAACAGACAGCACTACTTAACCTGAAAGAAGACACTAGCATAATAATCTTACCAGCAGACAAAGGCAATGCCACGGTGGTTATGAACACATCTGACTATCAAACCAAATTAACCAACCTACTCCAAGACTCTACATACAAACCCCTAAACACAGATCCCACCACCTACCTGGAAAAAACCACCAGATCTAAAATAAAAGCCTCCCCCATTAACAAAGAGATCCAGCAAAGAATCATTCCCAGAGAGAAATCATCCAGATGCCCTAAGCTCTACAGTCTCCCCAAGATACATAAAGAAGGAACCCCACTAAGACCCATAGTCAGCTCCATAGGCTCACCTCTACAAAACCTATCCAAATTTCTCGCCAAACAACTACAGCCCTATGCAGAATCCATCACCTCACACGTAAAAAACTCATTCCATTTCTTAGAGATCATAAAGAAACAAAACTTACAGCCCAGCGACCTACTTGTGAGCTTCGATGTCATATTCCTCTTCACCCAAGTGCCAATCAAAGAAGCCTTGACAGCTATCCAAAACAAATATAACCCCCCCAAACACATCCTAGATCTGACCAACCACTGCATATGCAACAAATACTTCATCTATAACAGACAAAAATACAAACAAATAGAAGAAGCACCCATGGGATCACCCCTCTCACCTGTCATTGCAAACCTCTACATGGAACACTTTGAAACGCAAGCTCTAGAAAAATCTGAACACAAACCCAAACTCTGGCTCAGATATGTAGACGACACCTTCATAATCTGGCCACATGGGAAAGAAAAACTGGACAACTTCCTCATACACCTCAACAGCCTACACCCCAAAATACAGTTCACCATGGAAACAGAAGCTAATAACCAACTTCCCTTCCTGGATGTCTTAGTCTACAAGAAATCCAATGGCTCCCTAGGACACACCATCTACCAGAAGAAAACACACACAAACCGCTATCTGCATGCTCTCTCACACCACCACCCAGCACAGATCAACTCCGTAGCCAAGACACTCATCTCTAGAACAAAACGCTTAGCTGATGAACAACACCTAAAAACCGAACTACACACTCTCACTAATGTACTTACATCCAATGGATTCCAAAGAAATAAGATTACCAAACTAATCCAAAAAGAAACCCCCACTAAAACCCAAGACAGAGAACAAGAAAACGGCAAAGCCCTCCTCCCTTACATAAAAGGCAGAATCAGTAGGATCCTCCACAAACACAACATTAAGACAGCATTCTGCACAAACCGAAAAATATCCACCATCCTAAGAAACCCCAAAGATAAAATTGAATTAGAAAATCAAGGAGTATACGAAATCCCATGCACCACTTGTCCCACCATATACATCGGACAAACCAACAGAAGAATAAGTGCACACATTGAAGAACATAAGAACTCAGTCAAAAAAGAGGAACCAACTTCTTCCCTGGTCCAACACCTTAAAATCATAGGACATGAAATTGACTTTAAAAAGACCAGAACTATCGCCAGAACTGAACACTTTAATAACAGAATAATCAGAGAAGCCATTGAGATAGAAAAATGCCCACACAGCATGAACAAACGAGATGACACCTCCCACTTACCAGCCATTTGGAAACCCGCCCTTATTGACAAACGAGTCCCTAACACAAAGAATGACACCAGACCCACACTCACAAAAGCCACACAGGATGTCACCACCACACGTCCACGCAAAAAGCAAACCCAAACCCACACCGAGGATGAGGCATGACCACAAACCAGAAGCCAGACCATAGCTGCATCATTAGCCACTTTAAACCCCTCCAATCCATACATGAAGCAAACTGACACCCACCATGAAGATGAGGCACGACCATGAACGCGAAGCCAAACAATAGCAATGCAGCTCACCATCTCACATTCCCCATGCAACTCAGACTAACCTGAGCACAACAAAGCCCCCACCCAAAGAGAACACTCCCCCAACCAATCAGAGCACAGCCAACCCCCCATCCAATCAGAGCACAACCAACCTCACATCCAATTAGAGCACAGCCAAGCTCCTAACCAATCAGAACACACCTCCATCCAATCAGAACACAGCCAAGCTCTCATCCAATCAGTTCATAACCCCACTGGCAGTTAAAAGGAAGAAACAGCTACGATCACACATTGCTCCTAGAAGCATGAAGCCGAAAACACCAGCCTGAAGATGACGAATGAGACTTCATCGAAACATCGCCAAGACACTTCCAATTTGACGCGGGAGAAAACCCGAAGAACCAAAGACCTACATATACATACATACATACATACATACATACATACATACATATATACACACACACACACACATACTTCTCTTCTGTCATGCTCTCATCATATGCCAAATAATAATAATGTAATAAACATTTAATGTTCTAAAGTAGCACATACATATATACCTGCTGATTAGGCACAGAGATAGGCTGGATTACTGCTGTAGTAATTCCAGACTTTGGAGCTGACAATCCAATTGTTAAGGAAACAGAAGTGCTTTTTTTCTGAGCCCTGGATAAATGGACAAATCAAAGCACAGAGAGATAGGTCACTTAGCGTACACATAAAATGCTTCCCATTTCATGAACTAGAACACTGTAGAGCCTTTTCTAATGACTAATTCAATCGCTATGTTCCACACTAACTTTCTACTGTGTTACTTATTCAGTAGTTATGTGGTAGGGAATAGGTATTAACATACACTAACTTAAATTTAAGTAATCACTGACATCAGGAAACTTTGTAGAACATCCTCAGAGTTCTAACAATTTGTTTTCTCTGAGTACGCATCCAACCTCAATTGTTTATTCTTTCTGCTCTTAGCAATTGGGGGGAAAAACATATTAATTAATTAATATTAAAAATTGCTCCAAGCTGAGCAAATTGATGTAATTATACACAGAGTAAAGTAATTATACACGTCTTAGAGTATTTTTTTCTTTTAAGCTGATTTCTCAAATCTTCAACTTTTTTGTTAATTTTTTTTTTAAAATAGCCATTCCACATTTGGACTGTTATATTTTTGTTCTAAGTCATATGAAGATTGTGGATGTAGATCTTTTCCTTAGTAAATTGGCTGTCAAAAATTCAAATTAAAGAAGGCATTCTCATCATCGCAGTATCCCATATCTACGCAATCCAATTCAGAAGTAGTGCTCGCACTGTTCTACTGGATAAATGTGATAACTTTTTGTATGCCAAGCTCCTTAAATCAGCTGAATTACTTAATATAAGACATTCTGATTAGGGACTTGTTTAGCTACATTTTAGCTACATTTTCCATTGTCTATGTCTTCAATAAGTAGAAAACTGCAACTTAATATGTTTCCAGTGCAGCAATTACACTCTAACACTAATATTTCCCCATCAAATTCTTTGTATTTTAGGAATTATTTCTGATTTTTACATAAACAACAATTATACATTACAACAAAGATAATTTTACTGATATGCTTGGAATACATCTTGGAAATGTGAAATAATTAGCCTTCATGAGTTTTTAATCACATCAAAGGAAGAAGGGAAAAACTTCTTAAAGTTTTTACTAAACATTTCCAAATGTTTATTATTGGTACTTAATTTCAGAAATAGAAGAACCAAGTATTTAACTGAAACAAATGCATAAAAGTCCACAGAGATGTCTATATATAGAGGGTATATAACTGTATGAAGCCTAATTACTTTAAAAACCTCATCTAAAAAGCCCAGCTGATATAGGCTTTTAAAATATAGACTCAGATCAAAATCAACCCTGTAGTCGTCCTACGGTCAAAGTTCAATCCAATTCATCAACAGCATTTGATTGTTGATTAACAGTAGTTAATTCTTGCCCTACATAAAGTGATTACAGAAGGAAAATGTGAAGCAGAACAGCTTAGTAATTATCATTTTAGATGGCCATAGAAACATTAAACACAAGACAGTTGGTTTTGTTCTGTAAACTCACTGGGGCATGGCTCCAGATTTTGTTTTGAAATGTTCACTATCAGAATCAGAGGAACTGGCACCTGCAAAAAGTAGGAAATGGAATCATTAGTGATAATATCAGCTGCATGTTTATAAACAGAATATTTAAGAAAATCTTCATGATTTCAGTATTACTGAAATTTCCATGTACTTTGGTGCTCACCAGTCTTCTCCCATCCAATTATTTTAATTTAAAGATTTTAATATTAAGCAACATGAAAAGAAATTAGCATTCTGTAAAGCTAGAATATGTGTTTGGTTTGTTGAATTCCTTACAAAATCTATCTACTTTCTTGGAAAACAAAAATGATAGTGTCCTTATCTTAGTGCTTTGTACATGTGCCCACAGTTGAGAAGATGACAAATTGGTAACTGACACAGATATGGATGATGGGATGGAACCAGTTTGCCAGAAAATGTTACTTTGTGTCAGGCCATGTTATGAATGGGAAAGCCTTCATGAGAACTATACTGCTTAGTACACTTTGAAAATATCAAATCCAACTCTCTGCCACTACAGACATGACTACACCATCATTGTCACAATCATCCTCCAGCAATTCTTGGACCTCAAAAATAAACAGGGTACCCTCCTATGGAAAACAGGTTGTTTGCCCTGTTTTACAACATTTCAGTTTTTGTTTAAAAAAACAGTATTCAAAAGTATAACTTGTTGAACAAATATAATTAAGAATAGAAGAACTGCTATATATAGCAGAATTATAACAATTAACATTAGGCTTTTTAATCACTGTAGACACTGAAAATTTAGATATCCATATTCAAATTGTAGTCACACAAACTTGTGAAAGCTAGAACTGTTGTTATAAATATGGTAGTAGAAACAGAACCCAATGCATGACATTTTTATTGCCATTTCTTCTTACCTTCAACAAATAATTCTGCTGAAGAAGAACTAGAGCCAAGGGAATTGGAGGCCAGGCAACAGTAGCGCCCTGTGTCGTCTTCAAAAGCTTCTGCTATAATGAGTGTCTGGAATCCTCCACTTTCAGAACAGATTTGAATATCAGGAGAATTTTGTAGTTCTTTACCTTCACAGAACCACCTTTGATCAACATTCAGTGCACAATGAGAGACAAAGAAAAGAGTCATTACCAATATTGATAATAAAAGTACTACAAACCAGCAACAGACCTCTACATGAGACTCTACTGTTGGTCATTAGATACTGGCATTTGAATTGTTACAAAGTTAGAATCATTTGCAGACTTCTCTGGAAACTGATATTTTTATGCATTTAGAGCATTACTTGCTAGTTGGCAGGCATAGTAGTTAGGGTGTTGTTAAGAGTTGTTCATTAGCTTTGCTTTGTAATAGCACTGATCAATAATCTCACATGAAGAAAGCCTTTCTAAGACAGAAATAGACATGCAGGGATCCTCTAGGTAATTTCCAGCATAGTTTCCACAATTCTTTGCCACTGGCCTTGCTGACTGGGAATGAATGGACATTCAAAACATCTTTAAGACATGTTGCTTGCTGTTCCAATAGCCTACAGGCATTCAATGAAACAACTGATGAGAGCTATAAGGCTATGTTTGTAGGCCCTGCAAGACAAGCCTTTTAGCAAAAAAACAGATTCCTAAATGCATGCATTGAAAATGAAAGTAAACTCTCCATAGATTTTCCCTTCCCACCCCCAAATGTCACATATTCTTGACATTTGGGACACAAAAGGTAAATAAACTTTCCATGGCTAGATACTTTCAAAAAATGTTGGCATATATCATTTTCAGCATTTTCATGTTTTTACTTGCCATTTTACAACACACCAAATTTATTACTGTAAAAAGTTTAAAGAAAGTTGCAGGAACAATATCAAAATCGAAACCATAATTTATATAGCCATTCAAATCTGTGGGGCTATAACCTCTGCCTTGGGATGTAATAATTCTGGGTGATATTCATGGTAGACAAGCATATCTAGAATGCAACAGAGTTTGGTGTATACTAATGAGTCCAATCAAAGAAACAGCCTTGCCATAAAAGAAAAGTAGTAAAGTGTCTTTCACAAGGATAAAAAACAGTATTTTTTAAATCAGGTTTTAGTGGTGGCAGAGAAATCCATATTTTTTTAGAGAATTTCATAGTGGAATACAGGTATCTTCCCTTATCCCAAATTTCTTATATTGACAAACATTTCATAAGTTTGATGGCTCCCATTCAATAGCCAATGTTTTTTTTTAATTTTCAAAGAGCAAGAATGGCTTTCACACAGTAAAGATGCTGTAAAGATGCCCAAATCATAAAGCAGGTTTAGAAACACAGGACTGAAAACTGAGGATTTGGAAAGGATATTTTTTACATTTTTCCACAGAAATATGTGTACGTATGGATTTGAAGCATTAACTATGCATGCTACTACATTATTTCTTTAATATAATGATGTGAAAAAAATGAAAAGGTTAGAAAGACTAAAGCTATTACCAAACACCTTGCTCCCTTCTAGATAATGTCTCCAGTTTAATAGAACCCATCTGATTATGAAAGCCACCTTTTCCCAGATTGCCCACCTCCTTTCACTCTCAGTATTTTTTTTAAGGTATAGGCACAGGGTTCCAAGCCCCCTCTTTGGTTCTTTTGCAGTAATACAGCTCTGATGGTCACGTCTCTGGTATTGGCTTGAATTACAAAGGGCTCCCCTGGGCAGAGGTGCTTTAGGACCGGTTCAACAGCAAATAGTTTTTTTAAATTCTCAAAAGCAGTTTGAAAGTTCATAGTCCATGCTAGTGGTTGGCCCAATCACAGCTTCTCTCCTCCTTTGCCTATCTTGAGTAATTCTGTAAGGGATAGGGCAATCTAGGCAAAAGAGGGGTTGAATTGACGGTAAAAGTTGGCAAAACCTAGGAAGCTCTGGAGCTGCTTGTGAGTCTTTGGGGGCTACCATTCAATTACAGCTTTCACTTTAGCTGGGTCCATTTCAATGCCTTTATTAGAAATTCTATAGCCAAGATAATCTAATTGGGTCTGGTGAAATTCACATTTTGACAGTTTGACATAAAGCTTGGCATTCAATAGTTTCTTTAACACTTCTCACACCAGTTTTATATGATCAGTCACATTCGTGCTGTATATCAGGATGTCATCAAGATACACCAGAACCTCCTTGTATAAATGGTCATGTAGGACCTCATTAATCAATTGCATGAATATGGCTGGGGCCCCCTGTAGCCCTAATGGCATGACTTTGAACTGATAGCTTCCCATAGGGGCAGTTGAAAGCAGTCTTCCACTCATCTCCCTCCTTTACCCTCACCCGGTAATATGTCTCTCTCAAGTCTAACTTAGTGAAGACACTCCCCTTACCCAGGTGGGTTAGTAAGTCTTTCAGGAGGGGGGGTATTTATTTTCCACACTCATCACGTTCAGACCTTTATAATCCACATAGAGACAAAGAGACCCATCTTTTTTTTTCTTTAAACAACACAGGGGCTCCCACAGCAGACTTGGCCCATTCAATGAACTCCCTCTCTAGGTTTTTGTCCACGTATTGCTGCATTTCCTCCATTTTGAGGGGGGACATAGCATACATTTTGGTCGTGGGAATTTGGCTCCTGGCAACAGTTCAATGGAGCAATCATTGGGTCAATGGGGAGGCAGGGTGTTGCATTCCTTTTCACTAAATGCCTCTGCTAGGTCCTGGTACTTGCTGGGAATGAGTGGCTCGCCTGATGGCGGTGAGGCAGCCACATGCGCTTGCTCGTTGGGTGGGCTAAAGTTTCCTGTAATGTCCATTGAATCAAGGGGGGGCTTGGGCCCTATACGTAGCCTCACAGTTCTCATTTCCTTCTCCCACCAGATAAACGGCTTCCATTTGTCCAACCAAGCTAATTCTAGGATCACAGCCTCAGTCATTTTTGGAGCCACCAGGAAGCGAATGAACTCCCAGTGTTCACCTATAAGCATAGGGGCTCAGTAATTGCGTGACTAAAGTCCCTCTCATCAGAGAGCCATCGGCTTGCTCAAACCTCATGGGTTTGGAGAGGAGCTTTGCTCGTATGCTCATTTTGATGGCAAATGGCAAGCTAATGATGCACCAGGAGCATCCAGAATTGACTATCACTTTTAAATCTACCTGTGTCCCCCTCTTAGGGATTACAAGTTTGGCAGGTAGAGAGAAAGGTGGGACATGTCGACTTACCATCGGGTCATTCATCGTTGCTGTCGAAAGAGGGCAGAGCGGGGGTGGGTCCAGCCTGAGTCCTGGCATCCTCCTGTGTGGGGGATGTGACTTGGGCAACAGGTTCCTGTGTGATCCAGCTGGATTTCTCTTCATTGGCTGTTGGGAAGGTTTCTTTCTCACTTCTGGTCCCGGTCTACTCTGCTGTTGGGGGTAGGGGACTGGACAATTCACTGCTCGCATCGGAAGCACTTGATCAGCAGGCCTGCAGGTGGCCTGGAACTTTCAGCAGCCTCAGCAGTTGGAGGTTTTCAGGGTGGTGGTTGCCGTTTGGGTTGCTCTGGCCTTGACTCGGCTTTAGGTGGGGAAGGCTTCTTATAGCAGGCGAGCTGAACGTCTAGTCTTACTGCTGTCTGGTACCATTCTTTCAGCTGTTCAGATAATGCTCGATAGATGCAGGCCTGAGAGAGGTGATTGTCTCCTTCTTTGAAGTGATGGACGAGGGACTGCTCAGGCCACCTCTCTATCCAACCGGCTATCTTGTGAAACTCTCATACGTACTCTAGAACAGGCCTGCCGGCTTGCTTTATCTTATGGATTTATTCTTCTGTTTTGAGGGCAATGGATGGATCCTCAAACCTTGCTTTCAGTCCTAGAAGGAAGAGATGGGGGTCCTCCAATTTGGGGGCTTGCTCGTTATATAAATTATTCAGCAATTCAGATGCCTCTCCCTCTAAGCTGGATGCAACTACATCGACCATAGTGGCTGGGTCAAGGTAGAGATAGGCCCAGCGGTTCAAATGAGACCGCACTTGGTTGAGAAAAAAATCAGATTCTCTGGGACTCCATCGAAGGTTGCTCTGAAAGGTGGAGCAATCAATGGCTGCTGGGCCCCCCACTGTGGCTGTTGCACCCCCGGTTGCTGTTGGCCCCACCCTGGCAGCTGCCACATTCCCAGTGGTTGTACATTTGGGGGTTGTTGCCACCCCCTGCTGTCATGAGTCTGACTAATGAAACATTTCAAAGAACTTTCAGGCATGGTTTAACCTAAAAAGCCTTTATTAGTGTAAAGGAGTGTCTGCATGGCATGGAGAACGCCAAGATCTGAATTTCCCTTCCTTTGCACATAACATTCCAGGCATTTCCCCTGCCATATTTTGGGGTCAGGATTCACATCTTCCAATTAACATGGAAGGGAAAGATTAACTTTCATTCCCTTCCATGGGCTTTTCTCTCCTCTCTCCTTCTCATCTGAATTAACTCTAAAAGTACCAGACAGTTCTGCATATTTTGTCAAAGCTAGAATTTTCAATATTAGCAGCATTGACATCCAGCCCCTCTTACAAAAAGGACAGATCCTGTAAACAAAACCATATGCTAATAACTAGTTCTCGGTTTGTTGGGGTATTTCGCATGAAACCTTTTGACGAGCCTGTCAGCTTTCACCTCATTGGATTTCACCCAGGTGGCTTCAGACAACGGGTATCTCTTCCATTGTACTAGGTACTGCAATTTCCCTTTAAAAATTCTAGAGTCAAGAATACGTTTCACTTCATAGTGGGTCTGTCCCACAACTACGAGGGGCCCAGGTGCCTTCTTCGGGGGAGGTCTTAAAGTTGCAGGACCCCACTTTTGTTCTTTTGTAGTAACACAGCTCCAACTGCCAGATCACTGGCATTGGCTTGAATCACAAAGGGCTCCCCTGCACAGGGGTGCTTTAGGATCGGTTCAGCAGCAAATACTCTCTTTAAATTCTCAAAAGCTGTTTGACAGCCCATCGTCTAGTGGTTGGCCCGGTCGTGGCTTCCCTCCTCCTTTGCCTGTTTTGAGTAGTTCTGTAAGGGGTAGGGCAATCTTGGCAACAGATTCTTGCATGACCTGGTTGGATTTTTCTCTTGTTAGTCGCTGTGCAGGTTTCTTTCTCG